GAAAAAATATTGTTTAAAGTGTGTTGAACATACGAAGGATAACAAGGTTTTTCTTAATAAATAAATAATTGTGTTGTTCTTCCAATATGTATATGTTGTTGTTGAATCTATTCGATTGAAAGCCTGGTGAAATGTATGTAATAATAATAATGGGCAGTATGTGCCTCTTAGATTTAAGAGTACAGTACTACTTCATTTCGTTTCTCTGCCGCTATAGTCCTTTACTATAAGTTTATCTCCTCTAAGGAATGCAATCCTGGCACAGAGGCACAGTGCAGACAGAAATGGCGGCATTTCGAGGAAGCCTTTGCCAAATAAATATAAATATATTTTAATGTATCTGAAATAAAAGGCTTTTATTATTATTATGTAAATATGTCGTAGACTTTTTAATGATATTCCGGTTTTCTAACGACGGTAAGAGTCAATTGCAATAAACCGCGACCACCACGATGTATTCAAAAACTTGTTACGCCATGGCTATCAAACGACTTAATTACCTTCCTAGAAGTTATAGATCTTAATTAATTAACTCAACTTATTATTATGACATTATGTTAATGTTCTTACAAAAAATCTCAATCATAAATCATTTATTCATATAGGTAACACAATGTACACTTATGAACGTCAAAAAAAAGAAATATACATTAAATGCTTCTAATTTTACATTAACTGCCAGTTCTGAAATTGTCTTATTATGTGACATTGGATTTTCATAATTAATCGATCTAAATGTACCACTTTCTTTGCAAATAAACGATTTATTTATAAGAAACTAGCAGACCGGCCAAGCGTTGCTGTGACTAAGGTTTTTGTTATATTACATAGTAGTAAACTATTCAAGGGAAACGGTAGGAGAACACCAGTCATGGGGACCACCATGCTTTTTTGGTGGTAATGCCATTAAATTGTAGCTTATGTGAAACGTTGGTACTTTCAACACAGCGCACGTTGGTACTTTTAAATATATATTTATTCTAATATCTGTTAGGATTCTGACTATCAAATAATTAACAAATAATTTGCAATAAAATAACATTGCGGGTATAAATCAAGATGTAAGCTATCCTATCTTTTAAGTTAGATCAAACTGCACACGGTGTGAAAATTTGATTGATATCGGTTCAGTAGTTTAGGAGTCCATAGCGGACAAACAACGTGACACGTAATTTATATATATTAAGAGATATCAATAAACATATGTTGATATTGCTATTGAGTACATAACGGAAAGTCTTCGATGAGAAACGGCATTTCTTTGTCAATAACGAGTTAATTATTCACAATTATATGTACTTGTAGTACAAGACAAACTGTGAACAAACATAACACCTCATATTAAATTTGCATAGCATTTGAATGCAGTATACATAACTGTACATGTTTTAAACTACCAAAAACAAAGACGTCACTTGAATTTTTATAAATTACATTAACAAAGGATAACTATATTTTTAGGAATTAATATTAATATGTTAGGAATCAATAATAATATATATTAATTTAGTAAGAGGTATTATTGGAGCGATTCGAATCAACGACGACCAGTCACATTCCGAGCGGATTGATTCCCTTTGTTTTATGTAGAGATGTGGTGTATATCTGCATTTTGGAGAGTAGAGAAACATAGTAGAGTGTTCAGAAGAGTTGTTCGGTTTAATACCTTTAGCTGAATTTCATCAACGGGTGTCAAAGCAGGATACAAATTACCATCCGTATCACCGCGACGTCGTTCACAACTCAGCGTTATTTACAATTTTTTTGGCACCGAAAATTTTTGTGTTTCCGAACCAATTCGAGGTCCCTTCAGATAAGAGCGCACCAGTTCGTCGGCCGGCAACCCTCGCGAGCCCTCTGGCATTGAGAGTGTCTGTGGGCGGCAGTATCACTTGGCATCTAGTGAACCGCCTGTCCGTTTGCTCCCTGTTTTTATTATACACTTTTAAAATAATAACTATTGTCTACGTCTAGTTCGTTGTAATATGAAAAAAATTGTGAAAATCAATATTCATGCCTTTTACTTAATCTTCGAAAACCCCTTTCTATATCACGCTTATTATATCATCAAATGAACCAACTGCAAAAAGAATATCAATCCTTCTCATAGGCGTATAGAGAGAGTCATATTTTTACGGCCCCCCGTATGTCGGGTCACCGATTATCTCTATATATGTAAAATTCTCGTGTCACAATGTTCGTTCCCATACTCCTCCGAAGCGGCTCAACCGATTCTTGTGAAATTGTTTATGCATATTCAGTCTGAGTATCGGCTACTATCTACATTTCAAACCCCTCAATGTTAAGGGTGGTCCACCCCAATTTTTTTTTTTTTTTAATTTTGTTTTTATTTTTTTATGATACAACATACAAAAATACATACAACCCCTTATTTTCACCCCTCTAAGATCAACCCTTATTTTTATTATTGTAGATAGTTATTTTTTATTGAACTAAAAATTGTTTCCTACAAATAATATACATGGTAAAACAAACGTTTTCCGGGTCAGCTAGTACTGTAAATTTTACTTAGATCCAAGCCTCCTTTTCCATCTTGGGAAAATTCCGTTACATATATGCGGCAGTACATGTTGAAGGCTTTGAATCGGTACCTTTCTGCTTTTAGACGAGGCCGGGTAATAGAGAGGCCATAGAGTATATAAATAGAAAAAAAAATTATAATGTTTGTTCCCTGTGGCAGTGTTCCTTTAATCACTTATTTTTTCCTCGCTGTAATTTAATCGTTGACTGAAAATACTCCTCCTACCGCTCAAATTGGTGAATGATTTATCAATTCGAATTACTATGGAAAAGGTTCGCACGGTGTGGTTGTGCAAACATGTTGGCAACTTTATATGACCACCAATGACCTTGACACACTTATTGATAAGCGGGCCAGTTATTTCATTACAAGCGATACTTCCGCCCGCGGCGTGACTTGCAAAGGGTACCTTTAAGAATGCACCATACGAACGCATGGACATGTGTCATAAAATCAAATTCTCTTTTAACTATACATTATTCTTGTTACGTGTAATAAAGTTTATCTTTCTTTATTTTTTTATTTAAATTATAAAGTTCACAAAAAAGAGTGAGACTTTACATGAAGTACAATCTAGCCTATACAATAGTTTATTAAGGCTAATAAGTAATATTATGTCGACTTTATTTTCTACAATACTAATAGCTTAAACTAAGCTTTAAATACGTTTACATAGTTGAGATACTAGTCATGATACGAGTCATGTTTAGCGCTAAGTCTTTGAATCTTACGTCGGCTTATACATATTTTATGAAAAGGTTGTTAGAACTTTAAACTATGAAGTTCGATTCCCAATGAAACACAAAACTTGAGGGCAAAGATTTGAGAATGACAGTAAAACGATTAATTGATTGAAATCATTTTTTTAATAATATAAAATCATCTATTTGGAAATATATTTGTAAATAATATTAATTTATATTCTTATCTTTCGTGCAAAACAGACGTAAAAGGTAGTATTTGCATTAATTTATTAAAGCGTTAACTAAATGTAAAGTAATTTAAAGACAATGTAATTTCGACAAATGTTCGCGTGTTAATAAAGATAATTAAAATCAATAAACCTTGTTCGCATTCTAGATGAGGTCCATAAACAAGCTTTGATTATATGAATGATCAAAGTTTGAGATTCCTTTTTTTTAGGGGACATAACGGAAACGGAAAAGTATATTAGGGCTATTATGGGTGTTGAACCTCTTGTAAGCTGTAGACCATTTTTTTTACAAACTCTGTATTTTGACAGTACCAAGTTTATGTATCCTAGAAGCAGTTATAACTGTAAAAAAGCATCCAAATTTATTCAAAACAATTAAATAAACTTTCCTGTACCTACCGAGGGATGCAAGACGACTGTGGGTACCTGCATATTGCACCACGATGCGCCATGGCTACTAAACTATTTTATCATCTTCCTAGAAGTTCTAAGTCTTCCACAGCCGTGGAATATTTTCATGGGGAAGGTTATTACATTTTTAAAGGCAAGGGTGCCTTTATAGCGTGAGACCATAAGTTTGACAATAATTATAAATAACTTAATTTATTATGTAGCATTATGATACTTAATATGACATTTGCATGCTATTTTCATATGGGTGATTGTGCGGATTTTTATAATTACCTAATCAATCTGAATGTACCACTTTCTATGCGTATAAACCATTTATTATCATTATTTTTTGTCATCGTATACATACATTCAACAGGTAAACAAGACATTTTACACGTTTGATAGTTGTTTGAATTGTGGTGGGCAATTTGAGACGGCAGATAAGATATGACTCTGCCTTTCCCGCCTAGGGCGATTGTTGGTGACGCCTTTGGGTTTTAGTGGGTTACAATAGGAGTCCCTAATAACCCTGCCGCACTAAGCAGTCGCGCTGCGGCGGGGTATGCGCAATGCTATAAGTACAAAAACATGTAAAAATCTTATTATAAGTTTTCCTAACCACTAAACTCTTTAGAGAACTCGTTCTACGATCCTTGTTAGTCTTTCATATAATAACAGTAATTATTCCTGTCAAATCATAATTAATTGTTTTCTAACAATCAGTGTAAATAAACGCAAAGTTAAATCGAGATTTCCCATCGTTGTATAATGAACAACGCTGTCAGTTATTATCTCGTCATCCGTTACTCCATTGAACTAATACAAGTTTACATCATCTATTACATATGTTTTCGAGCATTGTGTTTGGCTCTTCGAATAAATATTTAAAATACCTTTCGAAGCGTATTTTTTTGATATGGTCCTTATACAGGTGTTAATATTGTGACAATTAATAATTGTGAGACTAAAAACAAATATAATTTACAAACAAAAAACAAAGCTTAACTATGGCTTCAGTCAATCCGGGATGAGACAATGTTTAGACAAAACATCAATATTTGATACATAATTATGAAAATATATTTAGTTATTGAATAGAAAACCATTTTGTTTCAGGTAGCGAAATTCAAAATGGCGCCATCTATAGGCGTGGCGGAGTACTACGCCAACAAAACTATATTTATAACAGGCGCCACTGGGTTTATGGGAAAGGTTCTTATAGAGAAGATGCTAAGATGCTGCCCAGATGTGAAGAAAATATACTTGCTGATGCGGCCAAAGCGCGGACAAGGCACGAAAGAACGACTGCATGATTTCATGAATTGTAAGGTAAGTGGCGAGTCCGAACCAAGTAAACAGTAAGCTTTCCTAAAAGCCGACAACGCACTCACGAGCTTTCTGGCAGTGTGAGTCTCCATGGGCGGTGGTGACACTTAACATACGCCTCTTGCCTATTTTATAAAAAAAATAGTTAATATTTTTTTTTAAATTAAGTTCAAGAGCAGTGTTGGCCTAGCGTCTTCAGCGTGCGACTCTCATCTCTGAGGTCGTAGGTTCCATCCCCGGCTGTGTACAATGGACTTTCTACCTATGTGTGCATTTAACATTCGCTCGAGCGGTGAAGGAAAACATCGTGAGGTAACTTGGCTTGCCTTAGACCCAAAAAGTCGATGGCGTGTGTCAGGCACAGGAGGCTGATCACCTACTTGCTTATGACAAATAATCATAAAACAGATTCAGAAATCTGAGGCCCAGGCCTAAGAAGGTTGTAGCGCCACTGATTTATTTTTATTTAAGTTAAAAAAACATGTTTCTGTCTCAAAATTAATTTTCATTACATTGTATTTTTAACTGTTGCAGGTATTCGAGAGTTTACAAGCAACATCTCCAGATTGTTTCTCGAAGCTCCACCTGATACCGGGTGATATCTTGCAAGAGGATATTGGCATCTCTGAAGAACATCGTCAGACAATACAAGAGGAAGTGCAATGCGTTTTTCATTGTGCTGCGTGTGTCAGGTATACCTCTTTAGTTCTGGTTGCCTTTAAGAGATAAGGCCGCCCGTTATACTCAGCCTTTTCGTTTCTGAACATAAACGTTTTAAGGGTAGACATTTTAAACGGTTATTTATATAACAATCAAATATACATATTTACAATTTTCTTAATCTACATTGTAATAATAAAAGTAATTAGAAATGTTTGGTCCCTGTGGCAGTGTACCTGTATTGCGATACTTATTCGTTGAGCGGGGAAAGCACCAGCTCTGGGGTCACCGGTAGTATCTACCAGGCGCCAACTTAAGTCTTTAATTAGCGCCACTTGAACTTAAGTATAATTATAGGTAAACGCGAGGAAACGAGCATGTCCAAATCCAAAAATCGAGGAATTGCCTCAGACTGCTGATCACCTATTTAAAAATAAAAATAATATCAAAGAAACGGATCTAATTTGATGCCAAGACTCATTAATTTTGGATTGTTATTATTATTATAATAATGTCCTCACCCAATGCTCCTCCGTCGCTACCATATTTTTAGTCGTATTGATACAATATAACTTTATATGGTTTCAGATTTGATATGTTCATTCGGGATGCTGTTAATATGAACACACTGGGCACCATGAAAGTGTTGCAACTGGTGGAGGGTATTAAGAATCTGGAGGTTTGTACTATTTTACAAATTTACATTATTATATTTATTTTATCTATCAAAAATATCTAATTATGTCATGTGTTAGTGAATATCTTTTACAGTTAGTATGTATAAGGAGCCCTCTCCGGTAAAGACTTACTTATCTTTCTCTATCCCGAGCTATCTGGATCCATTGAGGACCCGCGATTTTTTTCATAATCCCATCGAGCGTAGGGTCTGCCTCTGTATCGTTTGCCTGGTGGTCCATGTAGTTTCTGTTTTCGTCCACCTGTGATCTGTAAGGCGCACTTCATTTTCCATTATTATATAACACATTTAAATCAAATTTCTTAAACGCATCTTTAAAGCCTCTGAAAGCACAGTTCCATATTTTTTATTTAATTAAACAAAATAACTCTTTTATTATATTCCGTTATATCGGGTTTTGGAAGGAAAACGGAAGAACGTGGTTCCAAGGTTAAGAGATTCAGAAACAAGAATTAGCGCTTAGTCAGACTCTCGTGCGTAGATTATATTATATATTTTTTTTATTATATAAGCAATGTTGGCCTAGTGGCTTCAGTGCAACTCTCAACTCTGAGGTCGTAGGTTCGAGCCCCGGCTGTGCACCAATGGACTTTTTTTCTATGTGCACATTTAACATTCGCTCGAACGGTGAAGTAAAACATACTTCACTATTAGACAAATGGTCATGAAACAGACATAGAAACCTGAGACCCAGACCTTAAAAGGTTGTAGCACCACTGATTTTTTAAAATGATATGTATATTATATACATACATAGGTTGCGCTTCTGAATCTCATCCTACATTAATGAGAAAGACTAAAAATCGGTACAGAAAACAGGTGTTTTTTTTATAAATACGTCGACTAGTTATGAATAGTTAATACCTATTAACGGCAACACACATTGAAAGATTATATACAAAACCAGAACGCGATTCTGTAACTCACTTTCCGAACTCACACAGCGATTTACGTATCGGCGGTCGCTCTCAAATCAGTCGTGAAGCAGTCATTTTATGATTTGGCATTCTGAAAAGGTGGGAGCTTGTAGTTTATTGTTTATGTGTGAGTTCGAAAAGTGAGTTACAGAATCGCAGGGCAGATAAAAGAATTTGAGCTAGAATGCTGCATAAAAAAAAGGTTTTCATAAATTCTCTTTACGCAATTTTAATTTTAAAAATAGAATTTCTATAAGGCCCTTCTCACTCTCTCTAAATCGGTCTCAATCGCTCTCTCCCTTTCCTTCGACAAAAACGCTGCACACCTTCGTGACGCTAATATTATTATTATTGCGGTTCAAACGTAAAAATTTTACCCTCATGCGCCTTAAGAAGTTTCACTTTAATAAAAGCTCTTTTCCACTTTTAAATTTATATTCTAGGTGTTCGAGCATGTTTCTACGTCATACTGCCGATGTGAAGTCCACACTCTGGAGGAGCGCGTGTACCCAGCAAAACATGCGCCAAAGGATGTGGTGAATACTGTGAAATGGATGGATGATGACTTACTTACATACCTACAGCCTAAGTAAGAATTTATGACACTAGATACATGAGCCCTCATTTTTATTCCAGTTTTAAGATTATTATATCTCTACAGACTATACAATTACACAACCAAAAGCGGAATGCACATTTAAACAAAAAACATAAAGCACAGCTAACTTGCATGTATTATTTACAAGTATACCATGAATGTATTTATTTCCAACACACAAATTTATAGTATTTATAATATTCTTGACCTATATAGTTTAATAATTAATTTTTTATTTAAAAATAATTAATAGAAAATTACCAGGCGCCAAAGGTAAATCTCTAATTAGCGAATGTGCACTTGAACCCCACGGCCCAAGACTCTCTACTCCAAAGGGAAGAAATTCAAAGTTAAAGGAAACAATTAGTATATAATAATACAAAATTCAAATAAAACAATAAACAAAATATAGATTTTTTATTGTTTAAGCATCGTCTAGTCAAAATAAATCTATTTGATCATATTTATATTTTATTATTATTCATAAAAGCACTATCAGCGTACATCAATGAACCAAAAGCTATATTTATTTTCTTCGAATCTGTAGTATAGTGTTAAACATAAAGTAAAACTTATTTATTATATTGATTATTTTACCCATTGAGCGCCAGTCAATAACTTTTTCGTCATTATAATACAAAGTAAGACGAGGATGATACAAAGGAATAATTTTAATTAAATAACATTAAACAAAAACTAAGCTAAATTTGCTCACTCACGCTTTCTTAGTTTTATAAGCGTGGCGAATAATCGCCATACATTTACATAAGTAAATCGTCGGCCGTAGACACTCTGTTCAACATTGCATACATTAATTTTATAGCATTTCATAACTCCGCATATTCTATTGTTGTACGCGAGTGTTTAATTATAGAGTAAAAATTCAATTCTCTATTATTTAAAGCACCCCGGTGACCCTGGAACCGTATAAGGCTTCTTTGCTTATTCTCGTTTATGAATAATTGAGTAGAGTGTGGTGTTCATGTTTGCATGTTTTTAATACGAGTAGTTCTCTTGTTAGAACGGATATGGTGCGTAGCAATACCGTCCGATATTTTAAGAAACGGAACGGAATACGGGTGAGAGACATAACACATTATTACCTTTCATGTATATTATATGGACTTTTTATTACAGACTGATCGAGCCGCAGCCAAACACATATGCGTACACCAAGAACCTCACAGAGGACCTCGTCACTCAATACGAGGGCAAATTTCCAATCGTCATCGCAAGACCTTCGATTGGTAGGTATCACGCCCCCCTTGGGTCATATTTATCATGGCGTGTCTTTTGATTCCCAGGTCATCAACCTGCAGGTGATAAGCAAATAATGCTAAATGATAGACTGTGTGTATGTGAAGACAGTGGTAGGTTCCTAACTGGGCATTATTTTAATGGAAAATTAAACTGGCATTATATATTAGCTCTAAATATAATATATGCTAGATTTTATTTTGCTCTACTTTTTCAGTCGATTGTATATAAGGAAAAAAAAGCTGCCAATAATATGTTGGTTATAAGTAAACAAACTATTTTTAAGCTAATTTAGTGAGGGCCAGCGGTGAATACCAAAAAAAAAACAAACTTACTTAGACTAAGAGACTTAACTAAATATGACTATTTAATCGGCCCGATATGAGGTACACGACAAATCTATATTATAGACTTATTACTAGTTGAGAATTGACCGGTTCAATGTGAGTTATCCGATCAAAGCTATTGGTAATCTGTTGTCCGCTTCCTTTTATAATGGTGCTTCAGAGGTGTACAGGTATTGCTTATGCGGAGCAAAGGGAGTACAATGGATATGTAACAAGCTATTCACTATTTTAAGTCAAGTTACATTTTGTGTTTTTAAAAACTTTTTTATGTCTAAGTAGAATTCTTAATAGTCGACTTTTGTGAATTATCAAATTAAACATGTATGCACTATTATAGTAATGGCTGCCTTAAAGGAACCTATACCAGGATGGGTGGACAACATGAATGGACCAACGGGGTTGCTTGTTGGAGCTGGCAAAGGTATGTAGTGTGTCTTATGGCTTCTGCTTTATTGTATAAAGTAGAACTGGACTAATATCCCAGTTATAATTCCAGAATTATGACTTAATAACTTTTAATATATTAAGTAAGTGTATATGTCGCAGCCAACTAGCTGAACATCTTTCAGGCCGCTAGTTAAACGGCGGCGTTTAGTTAAACGGCTAGGCTGTTTATTGAACGACTAATTAAGCTAGTTGGCTGCGACATATATATAGAAACTGACTGCAATTCTTATTGTGACATATAATTGTTATTAATGTTTTGAATGTAATTACAAAGTCCATGAAATAAAAGGCTTTTTTTATGTTTTAAAGCATTTAAAAATCTTAGTACCTAGTACGCTGTGTTGGCGTAGAGGCTTCAGCTTGGTCTCATCCTGAGGTCGTAGGTTCGATCCCTGGCTATGCACCAATGGACTTTATCTACTTTCATTTAACATATACGCTCGAACGGTACAGGAAAACATAATGAGGCTAGCCTTAGACCAAATCGACGTTGTGTGTCAAACACAGGAGGCTGATTAGATTGCCTATTAGATTGACAAATGATGATTAAACATATACAGAAATCTGAGGCCCGGATCTAAAAAAGGTTGTAGCGCCACTGGTTTGATTGTTTAAAACAAGCTAGTTCGTATAGGTGACATAGAATTGTGTAATACCTGACACGATTTGATTTGATATTTCATTTTTAACTTTTGTAACGCTTCGCATAACTTTCTGACGATTTTTTTAATTTCCAGGTGTGATCCGTACAATGCATTGTAACGATAGCTACCAAGCTGACGTGATGCCTGTGGACATGGCTGTCAATGCTTGTCTCGTGCTTGCCTACCTCACCGCATTAGATAGGTATGACAGTTGTGCTATGAAGGAAGCAATGAAATAGGCAGGAAATACCTAACTAGCTAACAAGGGCAATCTATTAAATTATTGAATACTACGCGCAACATTGAAGACAAGAAAGCCTGTATCTCTGTACGCAAACAAATAAACATATTATGAACTTCAATTTCATAAGTATAATTATAATAATAGGAAAACGTGAGGTAACCGCTATGTCCAAATCCAAAAATCTACCACTTCTTCCAAACATAATGCTGATCACCTACTTGTCCTTTAAAATATCAAAGACCTTAATGCAATTTGAAGACCTATTTAGGGTTTTAACGCCACTGGATTGTTATTATTATTAAGTTTGCAAAATATTGTAGCACTGTAGTCTACATAAGAAAAACAAGTTCCTCATAACTGTCGACTTAAAAGTAAAAATGCAATGCTTTAAGTTTAAACCTTTATTATATCTTGACAATTCAAAAGTGTACTTGGTTACCCACTTGAATAAAGATATTTTGAGTTGAGTTATAATATGATTATATCGATAATTTTAGACCAAAGGAGGTGCGAGTCTGTAATGTAACACAGTCTGGAGTTAATCCCATCACTTGGGGACAAGCCCTGGATTTGGGTAAGATATTATTGCAATATTTAATAATACTTAAGGTATTTAACTTATGTGACCACAGACATAATATGGAATATAATCAAAAAATTTAATTCCCGCTTTTATAGTCAATTGCTTTAGATAATACTCAACCAAATGAAAACATTCAGGTTTTGACTGGTATTGCAAGTCTTAAGGCTGCATACTCTTTTAAAAGCAATATCATTTAACATAATAATATTTTGGTATTTATTCAGCAAAATCTCAATATCTACCTAAATACCAATCGTAAGTATACATAGTAAAGTTGCTAATCTACTTTTTTTACTATACTTTACATTAGATTTTACTTAGTTTTGCTCATTCGGGGAGTATACTCAGACTCTTTTATATAACTGTTGATGGGTTATAACAAAATCCTTTTCCACAGGTCGTATTCACGTCCACGAATTTCCATTCTCTCTATGCTTATGGTACCCTGGAGGATCAGCGAAAAGTTCCCGCGCGCATCACACGGCTGCACTTCTGCTCACGCATATGTTGCCCGCTTATCTCGTGGACCTGCTCATGTTCCTTATGGGACAGAAAACTTTGTGAGTTACAAAATCCCGAATTTCGAAACATTCTTTCGCGCACAGAATTCTTTAAGAAGTTTAATCTTCAGTAGGTATCTTTCAGGCCGCTAGTTAAACAGCGCTGTTTAGCTAAAAGGCTAGGCTGTTAATTGAACGGCTTATTAAGCTAGTTGACTGCGACATATATCTATACAGTTTTTAAAATCTTCAAGAAGAATGTTGTTGTTATCAGTTAGTTGTAAAACAATATGTTTTTTCAGCATGGTAAAGATCCAGAAACGCGTGAACTACGGTCTTGAAGTACTTCAGTATTACACTACCAAGGAGTGGTTCTTCGACAATGAATTATACCGTTCCCTACCTGACCTCATCTCGGAGAACGATAGAAAAATCTTCTATACTGATCTAAGGGTGAGATATGCTAAAAAACTATTATGTATCAGAAATTATTATTCTTACCAGCGTTTATCTAAAGGCTAGCTGTACTCCGCGGTTTCTTGCGCATCAGAACCTCCTTGCACGTCATAATTGGTCGCGTAATACTTGATTATTATCATAGTACCAAATTATTATGATATCGCTTAAGATGCAATTTATAGATTTATTTATAGATTTGACCTATTAATTTTAGTCTAGCAATTCATTATTTCATTTCATGCTGTAACAACGAAACATTCAGTATATATCGTTAGATATTCTTTTTCTTCTGGACCTATATACTAAAATAAACAAGGTGATTACGAAAAAAGACTCGCTATAAGTTTAAAGTCTATATTAATCATTATGTATCGGGCTTCGACATACTCAAATACATAGAAAATTACGATATTTTTTTTATTGTTTTAAATGTTTGTATGTTGTTATAGATAGTTGAATGGAGCTCCTACATCCGTAACTACATTAAAGGTGCGCGTGAGTTTTGCTGTAAAGAGGATCCCAGCACGCTACCAGCCGCGCGACGACGACACACACAGTAATTTTAATCTCTATTTTGTTATTTGTCTATCACACTCTTTCATCTGTAATCACGGGGTTAATACTTCATATTTGGCCATTATAATCGATAGTCAACGCCCGTATCTATTATTCATGCGGTATGGGCATATATACGCTAGGAGTTAGGACCTTCCGTCCTTTGTTAACTGTACCAGTTGGAGTAAATGCTCAATGCGGTGCTCGGTAATACCGTGGTGTGGATGCATTGATCGGAAACTTACAAAATATATTGGCAATATATTTTGTAAGTTACATTAAATTCAATCGAATTTAAGTGTTCCTAAAAATGTGCCTGCAGTGTTGGCCTAGTGGCTTCAGCATGCGACTCTCATACCTGAGGTCGTAGGTTCGATCCCCGGCTGTCCACCAATGGACATTCTTTTTATGTGCGCATTTAGCATTTGCTCGAACGGTGAAAGAAAACATCGTGAGGAAATCGACATATCTTAGACCCAAAAAGTGTGTCGGCGTGTGTCAGGCACTGGAGGCGGATCACCTACTTGCCTATTAGATTTAAAAATGAAACAGATTCAGACATCTGAGGCTAAGACCTAAAGATGTTGCAGCGCCACTGATTTATTTATTTATTTTTTAAAAGTCCCTGTCTGAAAAATTTAAATTTTTAAATTAAGTGTGTTTTATGGATCTTGAAATCTTTATAAGTTCACTCTCTCATCCTCTTCTATAATATATTATTGTCTATTTCAGATTGTTTTACTTGGACCTACTGGTGCAGACTATTGTCTACGGGTTACTCGCTTACTTCTTCTACTATTACGTCATACGGATTTTCTGCTAGTCAACAACATCTCAGTCATCGATCACCAAGCATTTGTAGGGTTGCCATTCAACAAATACTTATATTATATAATATACAAATTACCTAATAAGGGTAACAATGATTTACATGATCGATAATAAATGTGATCAAAGCTAGAACAAAGATGAAAAGGAATATTTTTACGATTACCGTACAAAAATATATTTTATGTACATAATAACAATATACGAGTACAATTCAATTTTAGTTTGTTCCACCTATAGAATTCAGACACTGTTTCAATACCAGAACTTTTATATTTTTAAGATATCATCATATCCGACTCTATTTAAACTATGACGGCCACAGTTTGCATATATTATGGGTGTTTTCTGTTATATGTATCTACAATAAAATAAAAAACAAATCCATAGGCTATAAAATAGTAAATTACAAATAAACTAAATAACTTTTATATAGTTCAACAACCTCAATAGACTGACCGTGTCCTTGTTAAAGGTAAGCATTAAAATTACAAAATGATGTACCTGTATTTAAGGTATTACATATTTTATTCAAACTGCATAAACGTTAGTAAATCTCCATGTAATTAAATGCATTTATATTTTAAACTGGGCCTACAAATACTTTAAATAATTTTTATGTTACCTATTGACATTATTGTACTGTCATTTTATTATTAGTAGTACCTAGTATTAGATTTTATTGGACAGGTTAATTGTAGATACTATATAAATAAATGGTTACAATTTCCATATCACTTCACATTTATAACAGCAAGACCATTTGGCTGTTTAATAGTTTTAAAATATATTTTTTATAATGCTATGTACCTAGTAGTAGCACAATAAATTATAATACATATTTTCATGTACCTCATTTGTAAGTTACCATGTTATAATAAAATACAGCTAGTTAACATAATTCATTGTTTTATTATAGAGCGTAATAAATGTTAAGATTTATCAATGTAGTTTTATTAATTATTACTTTAATAGATAACACGTTGATCCTTCAATGTTAAGAACATCGCGGAATCTCAGAGCACACCAAACCACACTCGTACTCGTTAGCAAAAATCAAACCTAAAAACTGGCCCAGATAGACTTTTAAATTAAGTATCAAGATTGCCGTCGATGTATAATGACGGTAAGGAGGTATAACGTCGTTGTAAGTAGCGTTTAGAGCGTTGTAATAATTAACACTGGGGCCTTGTCAAGATGCCTTAACAGTAGTGTATGTAGAAAGTCGAAAACTAAATTTGTATGAAAACTTTTCAACTAACTGTCATTTTCATACAAATAAGTTTCCCCGACTTTCTACATACACTACTGTTAAGGCATCTTGACTAAGGCCACTGGTCACTCTGGTGCGACCTCAAACCTTCCGACGACGGTTCTCCTTTCGCACAGACTACATTATTTATTTTTATTTTTTATTATGGCTCTGGCACGATTTGTGCATTAGCCAGCGTCAAGTATAGGATTTTTTATAATTCGTGCTTGTCTTTAGAAATTCGACCGTGTCCTTCATGTACGGTTTAAGGCACTCGCCCGATACCGCACAACCCTCCCAAAGGCCGAGAACAAATTTAAATTAAATTAAAACTTGCCCTCGAACCGGGAATCGAACCCGGTACCCTCACTTAGCTGCCACTTAATAAGACCGCTAGGCTATGAGGCCCCTAACTACATTATTAAGATAGAAATATTTAAATAACAATATAGATATAACCATATCTATGATTTTTATAGCCCTCCTAGTGTCTATGGTCACATCTTGTGATTTATTTTTATAACGTGCAATGTTGCCTATGTCAATTGTCATCTTTAGTAATCATTTGAAAATATTTATAGAATTACTTGACCTATGAACTGTCAAAAGCAGTCAAAAATTTTCAGCGCTGATAAGTTGAAGCTCTAGTGGGCAATATTTTATTTTATTTTTAATAAATTAATTAAAAAATAATGGCGGATAATAAAGAAGTGGCCAAAAAGGACGATGATCGCGATCCAGAACTCGATGATTTGTTGGACAGTAAGATATATAATTTAATTTCTGTAACCTAAAACAATTATTACACAACATTCGAAGGTAATCTTTACAATTTCGCGATAAATTCAAGGATAATTAGTGAATAAGAATATTTTTAGTTAGAATGCTCATTATTTAATTATAGCTCTTACAGTTAAAATTTAATTATAGTCATTCAAGTATTTTAATGAATAATGTAATATATCTGTAATTTGCATTTTATTTTTATTCAAACAGATACATGTGATATGTAATAATTATAACAAAAGTCGTTGATCCTTAAAGAAAATTAACATAATATTCTGATAATCAGTATCTCTAGTAATTATAACTTACATTGATATTGATATGAGAGATATATACATTATATGACATTTACCACCAAAGGTCTGCATTTACTAGTTGTAATGTAAAGTACATGTATTTAACATCACTGTAAAAAGGTTTTATAAATAATTTTATTCTTAGGTGCCTTACAAGACATGACAAAGAAAGAGCCTTCTGCAGAGCAGGTATCTACTGGGGAAAGTCAAAATATGTGGAGTGAGGAGTTTATAAAGGAAGCTGCAGCACAATTTGAAAGCAACATGGCCACTATACTTGGCAGTTTTAGTGGTGTGCCTGGTAGGGTACCTTTGATATTTATCATAGCTTTCTAAGTATTGTCAATGAAATTTCAAATTATGTCTTGTGCAACTTTTATAATTGTTTTTTTAAATTGTTATAATTTCAGAGGATCAAATCTCACAGGACCAAATAGCACAAACATTCTCCAAAATGGCTGGTATGTTTATTATTATAATTTCTGTTAAGAATGAGAGCATACTAAAAATCCGGCTTAAGCCCAGTTTATATATAAAATTGTATAGGAAAAAAGGTAATAAAACCTTGCCTATATTTTAATATATTATTGAACTTGCAACTAAATTAGCAGTCTAGTGTGACATTCACCACAAATTTAATTTATAAATTGGAGGAAAATTTAAAAAATATTTAAGTATATATTTTTAACAGTTTCTTACGTAACTAGGGTAGATAGATTTCTGAACATTTAACAACAATAATAGACCAAACTTGTTTACTAACTTTGTTTGTTACACTGGTAATTGAAACAGATCTTCTGAGTGTGCATGTCAATGCACAATATTCCATTATGGATTGAATAAATAGTTGTCAATTTTCAGAGGCAGCCGCCCAAGTGCTTAAGCCACAAGGGGAAAGCAACAATGCACCTGTGCAAGGTGATCCTGCTGTACAGGGCAAGATAGATGATGTAAGATAAGTTTTTCTTTATCAACAAAGCTTGCAAGCTAACGTTTTTGGTACTATGTATATATGATTTTTCGTTAGTAAGTTACTTTTTTAAGCTTATTTATAGAAATTGTCTGTATCTTTGCCTATTAAAAAATACAGGAATCTGAGACTTGTAAGGTTGTACCGCCACTGGTATTAATTATTTAATTTATAAATGCAAAGATGTTGTTTTTTTCTGATCTATACATTGATGTTATTAAAAAGTACCTTAGTAAAAAGATGAGTTTAGAACTAAAACAAATAAAAAATTAAGACTACAATTTTTTTGACGATATTACTTTGAATGTTTACAGAAATTTCCTTATTCACATTTTGTATTTATCTTAACATTTTCACAGGTCTCAGCTGCAATATCTCAAACTCTGCAGAACCTTAACACCAATACAGAGAACTTACAAACACCCTTCTCAGATGCTGACCTTGCAAATATGTTTGCGGAATTCAACTTATCTGAAGGAAATCAGGTACACTAATATTTAGAAGTCCGTTTTAATGATTTTTTCTTATGTATTTTGTGCATAAGGGAGCGTTCAAGTATTCCGTCACGCAATTTTTTGGAGATTATTGACACACGTTTTTCTGTACCCAAGTATAATAAAACGTTTCGTGACCATTATGTTGTGTAAAGTATTGGAAAGTCGAAAATAATGTAACAATAACGCGTAATTCAATCCCCGCCCCGCATCGTAACGTTGTACAAAAGGAACCCCCCAATTTTTTTACGTAATACTTGAACGCTCCCTAAGACAGTTGTTAATTTTTAAGACTCCTATTCTTAGACTTATCTATAAGTTACAATCATGTATCAAGTGCTGTCAAATATGTCAATATTGAAATAGAACAAATCAAGTTTAACTTGCGTTTTAAAATCCGCATTTAGTGGATTCTTAGATAATAGGTGGTCTTGTAAGAAAGATCTTTCAAAGGTAAATTGCCGTGCAATGATTCTAACGCATGTGCTCATGGTTGATAATCGCATACCTCTAAACAAATACTATTACAATGATAACATATGTATATCTTAAATGTTATTTTAATTGTCAGTGACATGTTATTGAAGATGTCTAATATAGTATTAGGACTTTAGGCATCTAATGAAAACTAACCTATCAGTCAGTGAGTCATAGGAATACTTAAAAATTTATGATTTCTTGCAAATATATATTTAAATAATTTTATTTCCAGGAGGGCAACGCCTTTATACCTTTCATGCAAGGAATGATGCAGTCATTATTGTCAAAGGAGGTGCTCTACCCTTCGCTAAAGGAACTAGTTGACAAATATCCCGAGTGGCTTCGGAATAACAAAGACACCTTGGATCCAGTAGAATATGAAAGGTGTGTTGATTTGATTCATTCATAAATTTTATTTAATAATAATTCCACCCATATCACCTCAACATCCATCGTTCCACAACTGAGCGTTTCTTAAGGCAGTTTTTGCCGCACACCACCTCCATGTGGAACCAGCTGCCCACTGAAGTATTTCGAACCAATTCGACTTAGAGTCCTTCAAGAAAAGAGTGTATCAATTCTTAAAAGGCCGGCAACGCACCTGCGAGCCTTCTGGCGATGTGTGTGTCTATGGGCGGCGGTATCACTTAAAATCAGGTCATCCTCCTGTTCGTTTGCCTCCTAATTTACAAAAAAAGAAAAAAGGATAAGTGCTATAGATATATAGCATATATAAACCTAGCTATAGTGTGTATCCCGTATGTTCAAAACCAATATAATAACTTCAAAATATTTGAAGAATAATGTAACTGCTTGGAAGTTTTAATTCAGAAGACGTTTTGAAAAGAAAAGTTTGGAAAAGAGTAAAAAAATTGTATTGTCGAATATATAATAATATGTATAATATGGCCATTGGGCGGTGTAATGGCAATATAATTATCTTTTTATCACAAATAAAATTGGCACAAGTAGGTGTGGCATGGACTTCCTGATAATTATTGCAATAGTGTTTGGGAACATAATTTAGAGTTTAAATAAAAAAACTGAAATTTGAAAGTACACATCATTTAATCCATGTTTGCTTGAAGTCTTTAGCAAGGGTAACCCTTCTGAAAACGAAATCCATATAAAAATGCTCGTTTCTAACTAAGCTAAGCTCGTTACTAAATTTTTTAAATTAATGTAAATGTATTAATGTTAAAAAATAAATACCTCTTTTTTTAAGAAAAAAACCCTTATGCGAAATTAAAAAAAAACAAGCATTTTCGATGCCAAATCAAAGTAGTCTTCATCGTCTTTCAAAAGAAACCTTGTAATTTACATAATTTTATAATATGTACTAGTGTGTCACAATTATAAATAATACATCAAAGTTTTCCGTACATGTCTATTAATTTTGTATAAATATTTTGTTATTCTTCCTTTTTTTATAATTCCTGTAAATCTATTACGAAATCTTTTTTAGTTTATTTTGATTTAAAAAAAGTACTGAACGTTATCAAAAATTATCAGATTATATTTTCAGGTTCACCCAACAAGAAAAATTGATGCGTCAGGTGTGTGATGAACTGGAACCTGAGCAGGAGTCCGACCCTGAGGATGTCAAGAAGAGACGTTTTCAAGTTGTCTTGGAGTTGATGCAAAAGGTGATTATGAATTTATTTAAACAGAGCTAATGTGTCATATATTCCAAAATGTATGTTTCTCATTGAACAAAAATTAATGATAATGCAGATATAGAGTAGAGACAATAATTGATTACTTTAATAATAAATTATAAGCTTTCGTTTAAATGACGATGAAGCTAATATGATTCGGCATCAAAAATGCTTTTTGTTAATTTTTTACTTCGCTGAACGCCTGCGCCTAGATTTCTTTTGTTAAAAATGTGGAATTTTTATTTAAATACAATTTCAAATAATGTAACCATAAGGAGATAAAAATACGAATGCAGAGAAATCTGTTTAGTACACAGACATGAGACAGATATTTTCTGCGTCTGATTCATAGATAAGGCTTATACAAAGAAAACCTTCAGGTTGGTTTTCCTCAAAACAATAGACTTAGACCTTATTTTAAAAAAGTGTTATTGAAAGTAATCTATATAAAAGATAGCTAAAGCCTTTTGGAGTAAAAACACTTTTAAATAATTATTAAACATTTTATACGTCAGTGACGTGACGTCAAAACGGTGACAGATTAGTCGAGTCGACGATGACGTACTTTGCTTGTAAATAATGTATTTGTTTAACCCTAATACTATCTTGGAATTTTGTCGGTGCCTGTTTTTGAGCAAAAAATTAATGTCTATTTGTGTAATTTAAGAATGATAATTGATAATATTTAAAAACCTTTCCCGTTTGTTTACGTGTTTACAAGCAAGATACGTCACAGGGACTATTGCGACGCCATCTTGTCTAAGCATTTCGCTACCCACCTTATAATTATGAATAAAACTAGAATTTTTAAAAGAATTAATAATAATTTGTATGGGTAAATGGTAAAGAATTTTTTGAAATGGTTTTTAAAATCTTATCAAATAGCCCATAGAGTTAAAAGACACTTACGAGATAACTTATTATAAAACAATGAAACAGACACAGAAAAATATCTGCCTCATGCCCTATTGGGATTATGGGACGGCAAACAATAATATTAATATTTCCCAGACGCAAGACCTTGGACAGCCCCCCACAGAATTGGTGGGAGATATGGCGGAACCTCCTCCGGGATTCACCCCCGCTCCCGATACGAATTCGCAGTGTTCACTAATGTAAGAGGGGAGAGAAGATTAAAATGGGAATTGAAGGAAGTCACCAGAGAGCAAAGGAAAAGTTTCTTGGAAGCCAAAAACCCCGAAATAGATATAATAAACTAATTTTGACTGATTTATGAAATGTATTAAAAGAATATTGTGCAATATTGCAACTCGGATCAGTCTGATTAGGCCCTGGGTCGACCGCACACACGACGCATGCCTCGTACACAGTACGAATATTTGACACAGATGTTTTAGCATATATTTCCTTAGACACAATATACTAAACACTTAGTATACTTGAACGACAATCAAATTTAAATAAAGTTTTATTTTAATTTTTTGTCAAACCATTTCTGTGTGAAGTTTGACGTGTTTGACAGCTCTCAAGACGATTGTTACTTACGAATTGAGTATGGAGATTAGTTTAGAAGTATACTTTTTTTTTTATTTACAAAACTTGACTTCGTATTTTGCATTTGTGTTCTCGATTTGAACGTTAAACGTTCAAACAGGTAAAAGTGTACGTAAAATGAGACGCATCAAGAAGTCAGCTTCTAGCAAAATGAAATAACTGTGTAAATAAAGCTTTTAGCATATTAGGTATATACAATGTTCTGACCTACATATGACATAACTTGTAACGTAAACCAAACGTATTACGAAGAATACGTATATGAAATCATACATGCCGTCATCTCTCGGTAATTTGAAGCCCGGGCTTTCCTACTCTATAATTTGAAGTGTTTATCATACACAGACTTGTCAATTGTTTTGGACAATGATAGTCTGAAGTCGCGCACACAAAAAACTATTACAGACGGTTTTTCGAAATAATAAAATGTCCCTACCCCTCGTGGTTATTTAAACGATTATTATTTTGAACTGTTGGTAATAAATTATCGCGAGTCGACTGTACATTAATTGTATACTATACAGTTTTACAGTAGACAGTTTTAGATAAATAAAAAACAAACATAACAGTATAACGTGATTCCTGTAATTTAGAGGGTAGTTTCATATTCTTGACTTGAATCCCTTTTACTCAATTATCCGGCTTATTTGCTTGAGCATGCATGTTTAGAAATAGTAATTCCACTGAAAGCGCTCAAAACGTCGACGTATTGGCGACTCCGTGTGTGCGGTTGGCCTAGATTTATTTAAAATGTTATATTTTATAAATATATTGATTAGATTAATGTAATGGTTATTTAATAAAGGTTTTCAAATAAAGACGTGTTTGATTTATGACTCATGTAGCCGAAGATTCACTTAATAATATTATTTCAGATACATTATATCTTTATATATATAATTCTATTGTACCTGTGTATGTCACTGAACTCCTCTTAAACGGCTGGACCGATTTCAATGAATATTTTGTATGCGTTTGGTAGGCGTCCTAGATGTTTTAGATTCACAAATCAGCCCGGCAGATGGCGCTGCAGTCGGTACTTTCATATTTTGTTTAATATCCTAATCGCTTGAAATATCATACAGGACAACGTCTGTCGGGTACGCTAAATATATATATACCTCATTCATTCCTCGATGCCCCTTCTTGGCAAAGGCCTCCTCCAAATCCCGCATTTCTGTCTGCAATGTGACACCATCTGATATTTTCTTAATCTGGTCTATCCACTATCGAAATTGTCTTCCTCTTTTCCGTTTATTGTACCTTGGGTCTCAGTTTAAGACTTTTTTGTTCCTCTTACAAAGTGCCCCGCCCATTTCCACTTAAGTTTATTTATTTTTATTGTTACATTGTTAGTTATTCTTCTTAATGATGTAATACCTTTTTATCTATTCTTCTCTTCCCTATCTTATATTTAAAAATATATAGCGTATATTCAAAATTGTATCATTACATGTACTATTCTGTAAATTCGAGACATTGTTCCTGTCGAAAATTTTTGAAGTAGGTTCTTAGGAAATATTGTATACCTACCGTTATAAAAATTATTTATACGTTACAGTAAAGTTGCCAATATTCGATTATTTCCCTAAAGTGATCGATCTGTCACTTAGACATGAATTTGACATGAACTTTTACAAATATATTTTAATGGCGTGTATTTTGGATAATTTATATTTGATAGAGAATGTTGTTATTGAGAAGGGTGTGAATATATCACCTTGCAGTATTGGATTAGAGTTTTATGTGACGTTAGAGTATGTGGATGACTCTACAGTCGAAGTGAGTGGAGACCAATGTTGCTTGGTAGAAGATGGCCAGGAAGACTGTGACGAGCTCAGGATTGTAGGAGGATGTAATGATAATATTCCTCATGGTACGATAATATTGCACAAATAGATGTGTATAATTAATTATCAGAAATAATATTTTAACTGTGAAACTTTTTTCAATAATGATGCTAGTTTTGTTTTTTCTTATAAATTTGTTTCGTATTTTACAAAGTAATGGTCCTGCAACGCATTCGTTTGTTAGTCAGATTTTTTATACTAAGATTAAAACGTAGAATTTGTTGGAAGTGATCTCCGGAACTACTGAACCACCAGTAGGCAGCTAGCTGCATTATTCCTGAGTTGTAGAGCTGGTTGTGATAAATAATTGTTAACCTGTTCACGCAAGCGAAGTGGCGAAGGCAACAATTATTATCTGCTATGTATGATGCAGCTTACAGGTAGTTTAGTATAAGTACTTATTCAGGTTTAGTTTAAAGGCCGATTCGTATATTGCAGAAACCCCAAAAACTTTGGTTTTAATAGCACCAATACTTAACCCGTATCAGAGAAAAGGTTATTGTTCAATATTCGTTGACACGAAAGCTTTAGATCACACAAACAAACGAGATATTGTTTTAATCGAATTCGATACTACCGCCAATGAAACAAATGATATAAAAATATGTAAGAACCCAGATGAGGACCCGCTTAATGACTGCAAACCTGTTGATTGTGATAGTTTTCATAATACTAAGAAACCATTCTACCATCCTAAATATAAAAGATGTGTAGAAGTACCGAGATGTGAAGATACTGCTATTTATAACCCCCTTTCTAATGAATGTGTTGAAGAACCTATCAGTGATGACGATATAGAATATTTGAAGCAACATGATGGTAAAGTTAGAAACACTAAAGATATTCTTATAATACAAAATAGAATGAATGAAACAAGCGTAAGTAATAATGAAGCAAAACCTCCTAAAATTACGCCTCCGAGAAATGTACCAGCCGACGACACTTTATACTTTAAAATGTTGGTAAGAAAGTGCTTCGTTGGACATAATATATCGGTGATAATTCTTAGTTGTATAGTTGTTCTACAATGTGGTTTGATCTTTGCCCTACTCTATTGCATTGCGAAGAGCTGTACCTGTTTTAAAGAAAAGAAAGTAGTAAGAAAGTTTTTCAACTACAGACAAGATGCGACTGTGACGACGCCTCTAATAAACACAAGTAACATGGATACGGAAATAGATTATCAATTTCTTAGTGATTCATCCAAAGTCGATCAAAAAATAAAGTGCTATAAAGCATGCCAGAAAGAAACTGAAAATGCCAGAGCTAGCATGTCTGATGATATTTTATCCAAATGCCTTAACAGACGAGATTGGAAACAAACTAGATCTGATACAATTCCTGAAGATGCTGAGAATGATATTAAAAGAATAGAGAATGATAATAAAGAAACTAAAGTTATGTTTGAGGACGAAATAAAACATGCTCAAACAAGCACAGAGAAACGGGATACTAGTGAAAAATCAGTTGAAGTCAACCGATCTTCTGAAAAAGAGATTCGATGTCACAACTACGTATCAAACGTTCCAAGCTTCAATCAGAACATTAACGCGCGTTATGTTACTGAACAACCTCGTCGTACAGTCTCCAAATCAACAGAAAAAGGTGCTCAGGCATATTTCTCGAATGATTCGCTCGATGAATACTTATCTGAACGTGGAATGATATATTTAGCTGGTGAGAATATTTCGAAATACACGTTTACTTCTAACTCGACGGAAAATAAGCCGTCCACGACGTCTATGTCGAGTAAGACTTCGAAGAACATTGTGCAAAAAGTTCTCTCGATGATGCATAAGAAATCGAAAGTGCCTCTTTCTGATCCAGGAAAAAAGGAATTAGATTTGCAGTTGTTGCATATGTCAAAAGGAACTGTGTATTCGTCAAGTAATGATTCAGAGTACCGTGCTTATAGGAAAAAAGACTCTAGAACGTCGCTGTAGGTTGCATTAGGTGAAATAAAGTATTAAGTTCAATGATGTTTTAATTGTAGTTTTAGTGGAACGATAGAGGGTTGATATAATGTCCATCTGCTTGAAAAGTCTGTTATACATGACATTATGTGGTTGCAGATTGTTAGGGTGCGCTGTCCCGTATTTACCAATGGGCCACTGAACTTGACTCTGATTTACTTGATTATTTTTGTTTATACAAAAAGTAGGAAAGCCTTTCGTGCCTTTCAACCTAAAAGAATAATTGTATATCCGGTAATCAAAAATGACGTTTCTACACATAAAACAAAACTAACCATGAAATTGGTAGGTTTATATAAGTATTTTTAATTTTTTGATGTTCGAATAAAAAAGAATATTGTAGGAACTCCAAAACTATAAATAGGGCCCCAAAACTATAATAGGGGTTAGCTTAGGGCCAATAGGAAAGGTAAATAACTGTAATAAAGCACAACTCTTTAATCAAAGTTATCGGGTAATTCATTTGCAGCCATAGGGCAGATGCAGGGCGGGCACAGTGTTGATGTCTCTTCAGTTGGAGGTGTCACGTACTGTGGTGGGGTTACCTGAAAGTAACAGGAATTCAGTAATTTGAGACGTCTCATAACTGTCAATGGAGCATTTACGCGACTCATTGATAATTTTGGAAAGTAGACGATCAGCCGATTGCGATTTCCGGGTCACAGAAGAAGATTGGATTTTGGATATATAGTTGTGAACGGGTGCTACTTGTGGTGACTGGTCGTACTTAAATTCGTTCATGCGGTGATGTTAGTTATTTCGACTATGATTTGCGTGTTGT